GTGAAAATGTACATTCTTTGTTTTTCTCTTGACTTCATGGTGAGCTGGCTCTCCAATAAATGTCAGTGTTTCTTATATTTATTTATTTATTTACTTATTGATTCTCCATATCTTTTAATAATGTATACTTTGTGATCTAACAGTACTTGTTGCTATGGAGCAACTCATATCTATATATACACTATATATAACACAGCAATGTATCTGTGTGTGTCTCTATATTCATGCCCATTTTCCTTTTACATAACAACTGCATACTTGTCAACCCCTTTGTACATTTGCTTTGTCCTTGCATGCACACAGAGATGGTGACATGTCTGTATGTGCAGGCTACTTTGTCAATAAACCTGATTCTGAATTGCTAAGATGCTATTGATTATTTCAATCATTGATTATTATTTAAAAGAGCTAAAAGTTGTTGTTATAAATTCCCAAAGGAGAAACTAGTTTCAATAGTTGACACTTCATTTCCTGTTGATTGATATTTGTTGCAGCTCTAAAGGAAACGTGCTGTATTTCTGCACAACACTCAGATAACTGAAAAGTCCGGCAGCTAGAAGCAGGTAAGTGCTTATCTACTACATGTGCATTGTGCTGTTTTGCATGTGTGTGCAGCCTGAGCACAGGCACCCATGTGCAGCCCCTGCATCTGCCTCCATGATGGGAACTAATGTCTGTGCTTAGTAGACTGCGAGCCATCTGATACTGAAGCATGAGTATGTATAATCCATAACGGGCCACCATTAAGCAACAAATCAGCTGCCGCAGACACATTATTGTCGGTATCAGTTCTGCAGGTGACCATACACACCACGTTACTTCATTAAAACCGTCCAGAGAGAGTTATCTCTGGAATGACGGTTTCCCAGAGGAGGTATTTGTGCATCTATATTTCTCCATCCAGCTCCTCGCCTCTGGACGAAAGCAGAATATACGGCTATCGATGAGACTGTTTAAACAACCAGAGAGCTTGTGTTTAGAATGGCAATAATGGGTTGTGTGCGCTATCACCCTGCACACACAAGTTCAGTAACACTTGAAAATTGCTTAGCATTCAGCAGCTGCTTCCAGCTGGAAGGGGATATGCATCAGTACTGAGAGAGAGAGGGAGTGTGTATCAGCAGTTCTCCCCAGTGTCTGGCCGAAAGCCTCCCTGGTGGATTATGTTACCCAACAATGGACGTGGCCTTTCACAGTCAGAGCATGTTCCAATAGCTGGAAGGCACACAAACATGCCCATCTCCCCCTCTCCTCCGCTCTCCCACCAGAATTGACATTGTCCCCTGGCAAATGCATGTCGACAGTACGTCTTTATGTCAACAAAATGAGCACCCTAATTTCCAGTGAAAGGCAAATATGAGAAAAAGCTGGCGATCACACCAAAGCATTTCAGCAGAGCGTGCTGTGGCATGAACGGTATCACACATGAAGCAGGACCCACTGTCCCTGATGTGTTAGTGACGACGATGACAAAAAAAAAAAAAAAAAGTGAGACTAACAGCTTTCAGCATCTCTGTAATCAAAGGTGGACGAGACAGAGGAACTGACACGACTGTGGAGAAATAATGATGTAGGCTGTACCCTGTGTGTTTATAGTGTTTGTGGAGAAACACACAATGGAGAGAGAGAGAGAGCCTGAGGCATCGACTGCAGGAAGTCCTGCAGGCATGAAGGGAAACTGTAGAGGTAAACACTGCTCTTCATCAGACATTCAATAGCTGTGGCTTGAACACTGCTGCTGCTGCTGGACATACAAATACCCCTCAGTGGAAAACTGTACGTACGGAGAAGTGTCTCATCAATAAGCGTAATGTGCTCTGCCTCATGCTTCGGTTGTAGCATGATGCAGGGTCTGACTCCTAAATGAATTATATTTGACAGTTGGGTGACTGTCAGGCCTAAATGAACATGTCGTGGCGATTCCTGACATCTCAGAAAAAATGTTAAATATCAGACTTTTCATTACAGACTCTCGGGAGCAGAAAGTGATTTTTTTTTCACTTCCTAAAACTCCTCAAAAGGCAGATAATCTCAGAAGAGCAGGATTAGTACATTTACCCGAGCACTGAGTCTGTGTTCATTCAGTGTGAGTAACAATCTGCCCGGGTACATTAAGGCCCATTTTATAAGCAGTGGCACACACACTCCTCATGAGACCCTCAGTCTTGGGTGAATACAGGATTTCTAAAGAAGTTCAGCTCTCTAAACCCAGTGCTACCTCCGGGAGGTATGCTCCCAGCTTTTTGAAAGGCAAATCCACAGGAGAAAAGATGAAGGGATTAAATTGACAAGCTGACAGCTCCCATACGACCAATCAGAGCAGCTAAGAGCGCTGGAAAGTGCGCGGGCTGAGATTACAGGGGCGAGCGCAGGAGCTCTTCAAGACTCCCCTCAAGCAATATACTCGTAGTCTTATTGGTGCAAGGGACAGGGAAGATGGAAGATGTCCTGCACTCATAAGTGAACTGGTGAAAAGAAACAAGGTGTAGTGGTACCTGACGGGGCCGTACTCCACAGAAGAGCGCGGTGTAATTAGAATTAAGCAAAGAAAAGCCCACGGCCTGGAACTACAGCACATCAGAGAGTACTGCTCCGGCTGACTCATCACTGCTGTCATCCACAGCCATCAGTACAGCACGGTTTGTGACTGCTGGCCTTTCCTAATTCAACTTGAGGGGGACAAGTCATGAGCAACAGCTATGTCATCGCCGTGCACTGCAAAAAAATCTTCTTTGCCGTGGTCATCCCTTGTTTTTATCGTAAACCCTCAGGGTGTTGGAAAGTAATATTTGTGCCACTACTTGTCTTAACCTCCTTCCGGGCCTTCAGGCTGATGGCTCTGCTATAATTTCATTACAATGTCAGGGTTCCACAGCTGCACAGAAAAAGCTGGAAAACACAAAAGCGAGCACAAAAAAACGGGCATCTGGGCCGACTGCGATGACACATTTACATCCTGACGGAATTATCTGCATGATTACAAGGCTAAGCCAGACTTCCTGGGTGTGGAAGAAGTGTGGAAAATACGATGGGTTATCTCCTCTTGAAAGCACCCTGAACGTCACAATGGCACCAAGTAGCCGAGGCACAGCTCACAGGTATTTTTTAGTAGCATAGTAAAGCAGATTTCGTCGTGCTCATGCAGGATTCAAACCCTCCAAAGACGTGGATTTTCATATTCCCATCATCTGTGAGGTGGCTGAGACATGTGGAGGTGATACAGGAGGAAGCTACGACAGCCGATAGCAGCATCAAGATGAAAAGGTTAGTTAATGAGGGTATATACGGGTGCAGAGTTGAGAGTTCAACGCAGACTCCATCATTATCTGAAGACACAAAACAGCAGGAAAGGCAGCTAATGATTACTCCAGCACTCCATCCACACAGCCACGTATGAAGCCACTGCAGTCAGTCACACGAGCAAGATGCTAACTGCCTCTAATGGGGGGATGGGATGGGAGGAGGTAGTGATGGGAAGCTTGTGCATGCCGAGGGCCCTGTGTTGAACAAGAAAAGGATGCACGTTTTTTTTTACGGGTTTAAGGAAGTGACACAAGCACCGGGGGAAGATCAACAGATTGCGAGTTCTGCTGCTTATTTGAGATAAGGGAATGTTCTCACAACAACATGTCTGCCTCGAAATGGTTTTCACTTAAGTCGGCAAGAAAAAGAAGATACAGAGAGAAGGGGGGGGGGGTAGAAAATCATTAAATATGCTCGTATTCTCCAGCACATTACCTCAAATCTGGAGGATCTGTGTGAGCTGCAGCTTTGCAGTCAATATTCCCATCTCCACACTATATCAGCGCAGATTCATGATGTCTCCTCGTACTGGATTGACCTCTCGGGCTCGATCCGTTCCTGACGTCCTTGAATCTCGCTCGGCTTCTGCTGGAGTCAGAACAACTGAATTTTTTCCCCCCCTCTCCAATTGGCCCAGTGCCCTTTCTTCCCTTGGTGCTTATGTCACTTCCTTGAACCATAACATGAATCCTCTCACCACACACACACACACACACACTGCTATAGTTACTGTTTGGGCAGCATGTCATTTTCATCCACACTACAATACGGAGCCATTAGCTTCTTGTAGATACTGGTTTGTGCATTTAAAGAAATCCGCTCAGTAGCCAGAGAGAAATTCACAGATGTAGTATTTGGATTTGCAATTGTAGTATTTGTATTTGCATGATGCTGAATTTCACTGACTCTCCACTTGTGGCTGTATTTTAAAGCCTGATATCACATGTATTGTTCAGTCTGGAGCAGCAGTGCATATCTGTGCAGAGCCTAATTTCCAAGGAGGCTGGCTGAACCAAAGAGGATAAATAAATCCAAAGAGCCAGACAGATTGCTGTGGGAATAAGGCATGATGGTGCCCCGGTGCCCATGAATGTGCGTGCGTGCAGCCTGAGGGGCTTCAGGAATCCTATGATGGGAGGAAGATGTGGCCAGATTAACACCTCAAAGCTTTGGCCACAGACACTAACATGATGCCACATGTTCTGCTGCATCCTCATCCCACAAGTGTCAGCAGCTTTTAGAGTCAGAGATGAAAAAATGCTGTGTTCATGTTGCACAAGGAGCTAAATTCAGCAGCAAAGCCAAAGACGCAATAGCGGACGCGCCTGCTCCGTCAAAGGCGCACGGACAGGCCGATTGGATATCTTACTCTTGCCTCATTACCACTTACTGCAAGTGGCGTGGAGGGTTGTCAACGTGCCTCAGAGGGGAAATGCACTCCTAACAACTTTGAAATCACCTTTTCATTTCTCCTCCATTGTGAGTCCTGCTTCATTGGAAAGTTATGGAAATGTAAGCCTTTTTTTTTTCTTTACGCGGCACATCATGCGTAAATCTCACCTGGTAACACGGGAAAAAGACGCACGATAGAGGGAGCGTGATAAAAAGAGATGCTTTTGAGTGATGATGACACTGGCAAACAAATTGTCACCGCAGAATGTATGAAAGGACAATTTGGTGCATTTGCTTTCTCTTACCTTAATGACAACACGGAGGATTTGCAGTCCGGGAATCACCTCGCGAGTAAAATCCCCTGAATGTGGCACAAATTGCGTTGTTGCCTCGAGATTATCACAAGTGTGTGTTGATCATGCAGCGCGTCACTGTGGTAGTAAGAGGTCCCGTGCACCGGAGAGTCTTCCTGTGTGTGCGCGCTGCAGAGGCTTCACCGAGCAATGAGACAGCGCTGCACAGGGAGGGAGCGAGGGAAGGTCCGGCATGGAGTCCGCTCTGTGGATCAGGGAACCCTCCACTGGCCCTTGGTCCAGATCTGACTCATTCATTCTGCAACATGTTTTCACAAACAGCAATGGCTGCAAAACTGTGCTACAAAGAGAGAGAGAGAGACTCAGAGAGAGAAGTATTAAAGTGTACGAATACTTTTAAGATAAATATACTTATACCTCTTTCCATTTATGGAGAGGTGTATCTATGGAGAGCATTCGTAGACAGATTGCATCACAGCAACGCGACTATAGTCCTAATTCTAAGACTACTCCAAATGCGTCCTTCCACCCATAATCCACCAGGCGGATCCTTCCTGGCCCAACATAAATCCCATGATTCATTGCTCTTCTGTTTTTTAAAGAGGTAATGGCGGGTGAGGCGAAAACTTTAAACCGAACAGCTAACAGTGCACATGTTTAAAAAACCACATCTATTTAACGTTTTTAATCAACCGAACAACTTTTTTGTCCGTAGCTCTGTTGCTAGGTGACGGCTGAAAGGGCGGGAGAGCTGGTGATCGAAAGGTCCCCAAAAGTGAAGCCAAAGCATCTCGATCGCCATCTGGTGGCAGGCTGCAGTATAGGTCATGAAAGCGTTAATTATCTTTGACAAAGAAATGGCCCAACGATAACAGAAATGATGGGACAATGTGATTTTTCAATTTTGGCAATCAACCCCTTAATCATCTTTAACAACCTCACACACAAACAGAGTCAGTTGTTTAACACAGTGCACATGGGCCTATCACAAAGACGTCTCCTCTCACTCTCTGTCTGTCTGTGGCAGGGACACTGGGGGTGACTGGAGGCGACTCTGCTGGGAGAGAGCGAGAACCAGTAAACCAGGCCGACCTCTGCTCTGTACCTGCCAGGCAGCTTGGATCTAAGAACAAGGTTACATACCTCAGTGGCATAACAACAGCAGTAGCAGTCAAGGCTGAACTTGCTGTGGGCCACTGGTGTGTGTGTGTGTGTGTGTGTGTTAATATGTACGTTGCATCATCAGGGTTGAACCAAATCACTAATGCATTTAGAATAGTATGTAGAATATAACGGTCCTACATTATATGTGATGTTGCATAAGGAAATGTCTGCATCGAGACATTATCTGGGGACTTACAGGAGCCCGAAGCCTTTTCGTCAACCAGCGATCAACAATTTATTGGTGGCAGTCAGTCAATAAAGGCGTTCCCTGAAAGTGTCAGTGAAATCAATATTCCCCCATGGCTCAACACACCCAGAGAGAGAGAGAGAGAGAGAGTAAAAGAGATGGAGAGAGAAATAAGCAGAGCGGTAATGAGTGTCCACACTTGCATGATACGCAAATAATAATATCGGTGAAGGATTATGAATGTCCGGGGGTGAAATAGATTTGTAGCGTTCACAAATTATAATAAAACGTGCTAATTTGGAAATATGTTTTGATGGTGTAATATTTCACCCCTTCCTGATCCCACTGTGACGACTGATTTCTTGGGGGGGGGCGGGGATCAGAGAGACGCCTTTGAAGGACAACAAGGAGGGAGTGTGTGTTTACAGTGTGTTTAGAGTTACTTATATTCAAATTAAACCTTGTGTTCTTTGTGGGGGCAGCTTTAAGGAGACTTGTGCCGGTGCAGCGAGGCCCTCGGGACTTATGTGTGATCTTATTTGCGTCACAGGAGCTTGCGTGGACAGTTCACCAGTGATGCTACAGCTGACACATCAAAGTGTGTCGTGAGGCGTATAGTCCTCGAAATCCAGCTTCAGGCTGAAAGCTGGAAAAATACAATAGAAAATATAAAATAAAATGAATGAGGCTTATCAAGAGAGCAATTCAGCAAGAATTTAAAGTATTTAGCTTGATTCAAATAAGTGAAACTGAAAAGAAATTCAGCAGCGATTGAACATATTTTACATGAATTACTGTGTTATTGTATAAATTTGCTGATCCGGGCCACAGCCTGATCCAGTCCATATCTTACCCCTCTCTCTGTCTCAGCATGCAACAGCCAGCCATTTATCAATAATTCATACCAAAGGAGGTAGTTGCAAACATATGAAAGATGACAGAGAGAGTGCAAAGTAACTAATGGATTACTTTGTTGTCACAATTACCAATAACTCACATGTTGATCTTTTGTCAGAGCCTCAAGTCATTCACCTCTCATAGAAAAACCTGGAAGAAGAAGAGGAGGAAGTGGAGGAAGAGGAGGAAGAGGAGGAAGAGGAGAGAGCCATTATTCTGCTCAGAGAACACATGCATGTGGGTAAAAAAAAAAGTATTGACTCTGCCAATGGTTTATAATTACAGTGCAATTTACTTGAGTTAACACATCAATGATGCAGACAGACAAATCACAAGCCATATTAATGTAAATAATTAATCTGCTCTCATCATTAAAATGATGTTGCCATGGCAGTGACAGTCTTCAAAACATCAAATAACAGCAGAGAGACGTCTTTGCTCGTGGAGAGGAATATTGCATGTTGGACAAATACAAGAAATCTGACTTGCATAACATGTTTTTATTTGTGGCAGCATATTGACTGCGGCAGCCGTTTGCAGCAGTCGTCACTCGGGTTCAGCGTCACCTTCCTCGACTGCCACTCAACGTGCTCCTCTTCTGCTGCTTCCCTCAGACTCGAGAGATGAGAGGATCTCAGCAGGCCTGGCTGGATGAAATCAGTTTGACTGGATGGGAAAGCATAAGTACGTTCCCACCCAGCATTTTCGATCGATGCTCGTGAAGCGGCCCAGAGGGACGTCTGCAAACCTTTGATGTTCGTTTGAAGACTCTATTGCTTTTTCTTGATTTAATTCAGGCCTCTTTGTCTCGAAGCAAATTAACTCCAGCCTGAAAAAGTACCATGTAAACATAAGAGTCCAATTTCAACCTTGATGTGCACATTTTAAAAGTCAAGGAGGAGACGGTGTGATTGGCGTTGAACATGCTGGGCCTCGTTTGAGAAATCAAAGTTGTGTGATTGCTCAATTCACATTATGCATCTTCCAACCCGACAAACCAAACATATCTGAACGTTCCTGTGTACGAAACTGAAAATAAAGGAACCAAACTGACAAACAGAGCAGGGAGCGTTGCTTGTGTTATGTTGTGTCATAGAGCATGTGTGTTGTTTACTGTAAGGTTTCTTCTCCAGCCATCCAAACACTAGTAAAAGCACTAAGAATAGAAATGGCATTGAAGCTGAATAATTCAGACGCAGGGGGTGGAATACACAACAAGTTTTTCCATGAGAAAAAACCCAAGCTTTAAAAAAATGCTGATATCACTACGACATATTGCCCTGAGTCAATCTGTTTGTGTGTTTCATGTGTGTATTCATCTGCTAAGAATTTGAGTGCTGTATGCATGTGTGTGTGTGTGTGTGTCAGAGACACTTTGCGCCAGGATGAGCTAATCACATCAACGTCCTCTGTGGATCCAGTTCATTCAGATCCACTTAATGGATTTATAGACGAATAACTGATGAGGAACAGTGTTTCAAGAATTACTTGGAGATAGTCGTCACACATCAGTGAGTTATGTGCAGTTAATAAAAGCTGCGTCAGCTCATCCGTGAGAAGCTACAAGGTGCACTTACCATTTGCTCTTCTGGTGCTTTGGTGGAAAGGTCTGTGTTTTAATGTGGACCGTGTGGACCGTGCAGACGGGGCTGGAAACTGCTTTGCTCAACCGTTCGTCTTGCTGAAAGGAACAGGCAGTCCTGCCCTCCTGCCCCTTCCTGTCTCTGTGGGACTTTGCTTTAACACTTCCCTAAACTTTACAACAGAAACTCACAGGGAAGCATTAAATATTGAAGAGCACAGGTCGGTGTGTTGCAGTTGCTGTCTGTCTGACGGTGGGTGAGCAAGACGGAACAAGATTTGTGGATTGAAGTCAAAACGCAGCCCCCTGAACCAGCAGTGATAAAGGAGATGCACAGGACTCACATCACTTTGGTTTAATGAGACAATCCTGGCAGTGATGCATCATGTCCTGGTGCTTTACAGCTTTTTCTTCTCATTCATCTCAGACACTTTCTCCATCTGTAAACATTCTATAAAACAAAAAGCAGTAGAAGACACTGACATGTTGGATTGTTTTAATGCATTTTTGATTGATGAATTAATCAAATAATAATCAGTGCCCAAATTATATATATTATATATACATATATATATATATATATCACTCCTTAACAAGGTGTTAAGTAGTGAACATTAAAGGTGCTGGGTTCCAGAACTTAGACTGAGCCAGGCTAGCTGAATCTGATTGTTTTCTTGCAAGGCTATGGCTATGGTTGTAGCTCCACTGAGTACGCTACATTAATGAGAGTCGTATCAATCTTTTCATCTAACACTCGATAAGATTGCGCAATGCATATATTTACCAAAGAGTTGATATATTTTAAAGATATTTTTCTTATTTCTTTAAATATACTAAGTTATCTATTCAGTTGAGCATTGCTTCTTCATCAGTGGCAGTTTGAGTCTGCTCAGAAACATCCTGACAGGACACATCTGCAGATGAAACCCGGCTGCTTCACAAATTGAAGGGATGACCCTCCAGTTATGGGGATGACTCGGGACGATCTCTCTAATAACCACCGTTCGACCTTCACAGTGCAATCTTTCTACGTTCCAGCAGGCTTTGATTACACCCGCGCTCTGAATTTCTGAGAAAAGACTCCCCTGCAGAGAGAGATGTTCATGCTGCCACTGTTTTGCATTTTGCGGTTACTCTCTGTCACCATGTTGTCATTCTGTTGCTGCCATGTCCTGTTGGTAGAGACAGACGAGGGCAGCTTCAGTTTGAGCTGATCGCTGACAGGTAGCAGGGGCCGAGAGAATCAAACAGCGATGACATTATCTTTGCTTCGCTGCACTGCTTTCTCGTTTCGTGCCCTTTGACTCCTCCCTCGTTGTTCTCTGACTTTCACGTTCTGCGGTTCTCTGGATTCACCATGTCCCAACTTAAATGACAAGCGTCAGAAGGGCTCCTCTCATACTGACTAGTCAATGACCTTG